GCGAACGATGACACAATGTCGTGGGAGCTCATGTGCGGGAATCGCATTTCTGCTCTGCAGCTGAAAGTCATCCCCGCGCCTCCGCTCCAGTCAAGGTGGGAAAACGATTGCGGCCGACTGCAGGCATTGGATCGCCCTGACTGTCCGTATTCCCGGATCGGACCGTCCGTATTCCCCGATCGGACGGCCAGCAGGAGCGTGCGGAGGGCCCACCCAGAAAACCACTTATATAAGGAAGGCCCACCACTCCCCATCGGAAAATCCCGACCGTCAGTATTCCCGGATCGGACGACCAGCAGGTGCTCGCGAAGGGCCCTCCCGAAAAACTATATATATGAGGGAGGGCCACCAGTTCCCATTTTCGTTTCAGTTCGGCAAGGCAGCAGTAGAGCAGCGCAGCGGAGGTTCGTCGATGCAGCGCAGCGGAGGCTCGTGCCACAACGCAGCGCAGTGCAGGCTCGTGTACAGCGCAACAACGGAGCGCAGGGATTCGGTCCGTGCATAGCCGACCACCTGCTCAACGCGACGGCGGACCACAGCGCTGTCGAGAGGCGTGTTCAGCTCGACGACGTAGCGAGCATATGGCGCGAGATCGCGACGCACAACCACAGCGGAGCACCCCAAGGTTGAAGGATCGGACGGTGAGGACACAACCACGCAGCCCAGATTCAACCACGTAACGCCATGTGGCACTTCCGGTCTTCGAGTCGAACACGATGGTGCCCCATCGTCGAGTCGAACACGATCACGCCCGATCGTCAAGTCCAATACGATCGTCTCCGATCGTCATGTCGAACACGATCGTGCCCGATCGTCGAGTCGAACACGATAGTGCCCGACACGAACACGATCGTGCCCGATGTCTGATTGTCGAGTCGAACACGCTCATCGAGTCGAACACGACACTGCCCGATCGTCGAGTCGAACACGATAGCTGACCCGAAAACGATCGTCAAGTCGAACACGATACTGCCCAATCGTCGAGTCGAACACGATAGTCGAGCCGAACATGACACTGCCCGATCGTCGATTCGAACACGATAGTCGATTCGAACACGACACTGACCGATCGTCGACTAGAACACGATAGTCGAGTCGAACACGACACTGCCCGATCGTCGAGTCGAATACGATCGTCGAGTCGAACACGATCGTCGATTGCGTTCGTCGAGTCGAACACGATAGGCGAGTCGAACACGACGAGTCAGACAACGATCGGAGAGAGGGACACGGTGGTCGAGTCGAACACGATCGTCGAGTCGAGCACGATCGTCGAGTCGAACGCGATCGTCGAGTCGGACACGATCGTCGAGTCGGACACGATCGTCGAGATGAACACGATCGTCGAGTCGAACACGATCGTCGAGTCGGACACGATTGTCGAGTCGAACACGATCGTCGAGTCTAACACGATCGTCGAGTGCCCTGTCGAGTCGAACACGTTCGTCGAACACGTTGAGTCGAACACGATCGTCGAGTCGAACACGATTGTCGAGTCGAACACGATCGTCGAGTCGGACACGATCGTCGAGTCGAACACGACGGTCGAGTCGAATACGACCGTCGAGTCAAACACGATCGCTGACTGCGTTTGTCGAGTCGAACACGTTCGTCGAGTCGAACACGATCGTCGAGTCTAGCACGATAGACGAGTCGAACACGATAGTCGAACACGATTGTCGAGTCTAGCACGATAGTCGAGGCGAACACTATAGTCGAGTCGAACACGATCGTCGAGTCGGACACGATCGTCGAGTCGGATACGATCGTCGAGTCAAACACGATCGTCGAGTCGGACACGATTGTCGAGTCAGACACAATCGTCGAATCGAACACGATCGTCGTGTCGAACACGATAGGCGAGTGCCCTGTCGTTGAGTTGAACACGATTCTTCCCTGTCCTCTAGTGGAACGAGAATGTGCGTGGTGCAATGTCATCGAATCGTTCATGATTGTGTGCAGTGCTGTGGACCGTGCATGGGCGTGGATTGCGCTTATAGATTCTGTACATTGTGCTGTCGTGCGGCCTAGTTTGTTCCATTGTTGGTGGGAGCGGGGTGAAAGTTCTATGCTGATGTTGGTTGTTCTATTGCTGCTGTTGACCGTTGCCCTTGTGCCGTGCAGGTCGTGTTCTCTTCACTGTTGCTATGGAGATCTCTAATATGACCCCAACACTTTGGCGTGCACGCAAGGCACACCCTTTCCCACCTTGCGCGCTGTACGTCCGACAATATCAGGGTAGCGTAACCTATGAAGGCGCTTGTTCAGAAGACTTCGAATGCGACCCTTGGATGAGAATCCTCTCGTTTGGCGACAAACATTTGGACTCGTGGGAGGAGTGCGAGTGGGTGAACATGATGGAGAGATGCCCGTCGGCAAACGCATTCCCTCTCGTTCGCGAATATGTCCGAATTCGGCAAACGCATTCCCGTGCCGTTCGATGTGTTGCGCCCCGTGTGCTTGCCGCTACTGTGTAAAAAACTAAAAATAAGCCGTGTTGTGGGGTTTTATGACTGCGAATACGTGACAACCTCGCCTCGCACCTGGTGCCGTGTTATGAAACAGGAGTTACTCGATTGTGTGCGACATTCTCAGTTCATCGATCATTATCCGTTGCGATCTCCCGGTCTTTCGCCAGGAGCAGTTTCGTATTGTTGTGTGAGATTGTGTCTGGCATACTTTATCTTTTGTAGGGTCCTCTGTATTGCCGTTTCAAGCAGGGCTAAAAACTTGACCGATGTTGTCGTGTATGTGTCCAGGAACGAGTTGTCTATGTCAGGGAGGGATATGTGTTTAGTTCAAAGAAGGGTAGATGGGAGACTGAATATCGTGGTGGGTGGCCAGGTGGAGGACGTTGTCGCATGGCGCGAGGTCGAGGCTAAAGTCGTTTCAATTCGGGATGCTATAGGCGCTTCTCTCGTCGGGAAATTCGGGTTCGTGCGAATGACATACATTTCGGTGTTTGCTGAGACGGCGCAGCAGCTGACCTTTGGATTGCCAATTACCGTGATGAATGGCCGCAACGGCGAGATTGTTCCCCGTAGTCGGTAGATAGCCTTCGTCATACTGGATGGCCCAAACGGCATACTGAATGGCCGAAATGACCGCAAAGGCGAGATTGTTTCCCGTAGTTGATAGACAACCTCGTGGAATTCGCATTGCGATCGTTGTTCTCAATGTGTTATTTCGATAACAATACGCGGTATCTACTAGTTGTTCTCGATTGCTGTTCTCAATGTGTTATTTCGATAACAATACGCGGTATCTACTAGTTGTTCTTGATAGCTGTCGTGTCGAACACGACATGGACACTGTTATCTGGCGACCTGACGGTGCATGAAGGACCGCTTGGTCGACTGTCGCACGGCAGACAACAGTATAGCTGTCGTATCCGACACGACGGTTGGTCAGCCCGCGCAGTGCCGTCGGGTTCGACACGACAGTGACATGACGACACCCCAATTTCGCTCTCGTGTCGGATTCGAGACGGTGCCCGAAGGGGCACTTTGTCGACTGTCGAACCGCTGACGACAGTGTCGCTGTCGTGTCGAACACGACGGTCAGCTCCCCTACAGGCACCGTTTGGTGACCATCGTGTCGAACACGACATGGACACTGTTATCTGTCGACCAGACGGTGCATGAAGGGCCGCTTGGTCGACTGTCGCACGACGGATAACAGTGTAGCTGTCGTGTCCAACACGACGGTTGGTCAGCCCGCGCAGTGCCGTCGGGTTCGACACGATAATGACACGACGACACCGCAATGTCGCTCTCGTGTTGGATTCGACGGTACTGGAGGACGTCGTGGCACGGCCGTCGAGTTCGACACGACAGTGAAATGATGACGAGCTGGCGGGCTGCGGCCCGCTTCAGTTGCTCTGTGTTCCTGTCTACTCTTGTTCTCAAGTGCTATGGTGTTTGCACGTTGGCAAAACAATGACTGCTTTCTCGCTTGTGCGCTCGCTTGTGCGTTTTCTTCAGTTGCGACTAGCTGCTCGGCATGGATCGCGAGGGGAAGCCAAGCAAACGACGTACTAGTGCTGGTTCCGGGAGCATGGAGCAGTCTCCGAAAAAACCGAAGGGGACACCGACGGCTGGCGTGGGGGCTGGCGACACACCGGGGTCTAAGGGCCACCGAACCCCGGTGCTGCGGGGTGCACCTTCTACGGGCACTCCTTCCGCCCATGTTCGAGGTTCGGGACCGGATTCGGCTGTGCTGATGAGTGGTGGGGCAGCGGATCGAGAAGAGGAGGCTACTGGTGGGCAGGGGAAATCTGCGATGGACGTTGTGCCGAGGTGTAAAAGGTCTGGTGACACGTCCGCTGCAGGTGTGGGAGACGAGGTGCCTGTCGTCGACCACAAAGACAAGTGCTGGATGTTGGACTGGGTGGGTGGAATAGGGGAACCCTCGGGTGGGCTGGTTTTATATGTGGTGATCAAAGATAACATTGTTCCGATTGGCGGTATGGTGAAGTGGAATGGAGGAAATTCACAGTTCGCCATGTTGGAGTTGACGATGGTCCTTAACGCTAGATGTGAGCGTCAAACGCGTTGCTCTTCGTTGGGCCAAATACGCTGGGTACGGCAAAAGGCTTTATGACATTTTCAATCCGCCTGGGACGGAGAAATTGACGTTGCCGGACCTTCGATCGGTTTTCACATTCTTCGACAGACATGTGGTCGGAGGGCATGAGCCGGTGGTGCATGCTTCCGACCGCATATCTGAACCGAAAAGCGTGCTTTCGTTGTCTTTGGAGGCGGGTCCGTCGTCGAAACCGATCATTACAGGTGTCTGCCCTCCGCTATCAATTCGGACTACGGTTGCTGCAACACGAGTTATGAAATCAGGGCAGATCGGGGAGAAAGGTCCGTGTCGCGGCCAAATCGTGTCGTCAGCCCCTGTGAAGTGTAGACCAACATCAACCAAGGAACCCGTTTCCTTTGTCCGCCTGCCGCGCCATTCCTGCTGGGTCGCATTATTTTGGAGATGACGACGAGGAGAACAGCGAAGAAGAATGGGAGCGCGATGAAGAACACGAAGAATGTGAGGAGGGTGACGAAGAAGAGGAAGTAGAGAGTGAACAAACAATCAGCGAGAGGGGTGGGCCGGACGAGTTGGAGGGTCGCCTAGGGGTTGAGTATGAGGATGAAGGGCAACAAGAGGAAACGACCGGCGTGGAAAAAACTTCCGTTTTTCCACCGGACCAACCACAGTCGGATGAAGACGCTGTGGGCAAGACAGTCACCAGACCGCCCGGTTTGCAGATTCTGCCGCATGGGAATTCTTCTGGTCATCTGAGCAAAGGCTTCTTCCTTGAGTTCGACGAGAATGGTAACCAGAGGCCGGAAATGCAGTTCATTTCTGTGAAGTTGGACAGGATTCTGGATATCCCTGACGAGGAATTCAGATATAATCAACGCTTCCTCGATCAGGAGCTTATTGATGACCTTTACAAAACAATGGTTGAGTCGGGTGAGGCAGCTATCAGAGAGAGAATGACCGGGGCAGCCGGGGTGAATGTATGCGCATTGTACGAAAAGCGTGTCCTTCTGTTGATTGGGCTACATGATACAATGCATACTGACGCTTCCGGTACGAATGTGAGGGCGAGAGGAGTGACGCCCCGCGAATTCGATCTCCAATCCGTGCGCAAGTACTACTGGTACCCTCTCAGTGGTCAACACAATGTTGCAGCTGCGAGGAAATGTTCTCAAGAACGCCATGACATCGCTCGTGAGCTCCGTTTGGATTGCTGGACTGCAAGGCCTGTTTACTATCCGGATAAGAGCATGGAAAATTACTGCACCTTGACAAATGGAATACTCCTCCGCACCAGATTGCTATCATTAAGAACATACGAAAGTTGTGGCAAGCAGCCGGTCGTCCAGAAGCTATAGGCGGATCTGCTGTAGACGTCAAAAATAAGGATTACAGAGAGTTTGCGGCGATGGCTCTGCGCGCGACCGGGAGTGATCATTTGGTTACTCTTTCACTTCAACCTTGGAGCAAGGAGTGGTCCGACGTCCTCGGGCCTTACATGATATTGGCAAGGGCGACGGACGATGTGTTCGAGAAGGTGCAACAAGTGTATTCTACTTGGGAGAGTGGACAGTTGTCGGGGAGAGATGGTGTGAAGCCTGCCACCACACAAGGTGAATCGGGGAAAGCGCCGAGACCTGGCCCCGGATTCGAGTTGGAAAAAGGAGTCAGGGTTCCAGTGCACTGGATTCAGGGTACTAGAGGACCTGGTTACTTCGTGGCTGTGCGCGATCCGGATGTCAGATCATGGAAGGCTATGTCTACGTTGGGGAGGCATGAGAGGCGGCAGCTATTGAGAGACATTCTCACGGGAAGTGTCGTACTGGCTCCAAGGCTAAGTAAAGCTGCTAACACTGCCGGGAAACATTCGATGGAGACATACGTCGAAATGGTGAAGCAGGAAAAAGCAATGTTGAGAATGTTTCACTACTTCGTCTTCATTTCTGACCCTCACAAGAAGCCGTCAGAGTGGAAGGAACCATTCTTCGACAACCTTTCTGATTTGTTCGCTAGGTATTCTGATCATGGATTGACATCGGAGAGGTGGATCGAGCAGCGACAACATTTCAAAGGAACGAGTTGGGTGCGGTCATTTCCAGCTACACTTGGAGGCGAGGATGAGAAAGGAGAGGAGGGATTCAAGAAAACAAAATCGCTTGCAAATAAATGCCCCGAAT